TGTTCGTCATGGGGAAGCGGCTGCTCAGCCCGAAGATGCTGCTGCTGAAGATGGTGGAGGCACTGCTGACCACGACCACGCAGCCCATGGTGAGGGCAAAGAAGGGGGTGGTCCAGCTGGAGGTGTCGACCTTCACCAGCATGGTGATCACCAGGAAGACAGCCAGCATGAGGAAGAGGGAGCTGAGGATCCTGACGCTGGCGGGCACCCTGGGGACACGGGGATGGAGAGACCCCTGCACTGAAAACTGTCGTTGAGATGTGGGATCACTGAATCCTTCTGGTTGGAAAAGTCACACCATCAGGTCCAACTCTTAAGCCAGCACTGGCAAGTTCACCACTAAACCATGTCCCTCAGCACCACATCTACATGGCTTTTAAATCCCTTCAGGGTTGATGATTGCTCCTTGATGTTCCACCACTACCCTGTGCCAGGGCCCTGACAACCACCTGGGGAAGAAATCCTTCCTAACACCCAATCTAAACCTCCCCTGGAACAACTTGAGGCCTTCTCCTCTTGTTCCACCACTTGGAACCTGGGAGAAGGGACCAACCCCTACCTCGACACCAGCTCCTCTGCTGTGAGAATGATCAAGGAAAATAAAGAAAGGTAGGAGGAGAAATAATGATTATTCTCAGAAGCCTTTAGATGTCAACCCCAGAGTGGCTGTGCTTGTGATGCCCCATGGCTTCTCCCCAGAAGAAGAGGAGGCTGAGATGGCATCCGTGGATGAAGTTGTGGCTGAGAAAGGCAGAAGAGATGCAGGAAAATCTGGGGAGAGCTGGGGAGGGAACAGGACTTACTTGTTGACCAGCAGGAAGTTTCCAATCAGGCACAGCACGGAGGGCACAGTTGAAGCGATGGAAACGTAGCTCTCAAAGAAGTCCTGCCAGGGGAAAAAAAACAAGGAAGAGAAAAAAGGTTGGAGGGGAACAACACACAGATTCCAGGTCCTAAATACAGCACCATATGGCACCCCTAGGGAGTGATGATGTTGGTGTCCACCGCATTGCAGCACCTGTTGCACAACAGGCAGCAGGCACAGGCCCCAGGGCTGTCTCATCCTGCAGCAGCCCTGGGATAGCTCAGGAAATGAGGGATGTAAGAAGTGAAAATCCTACGGGAGCTCCGAGAGGGCTGGTTTTTCTAGAGCAGGACACACAAGCATTAATCCTCCCAGCTAAACGACCTCAAGAGCCCAACCTGTGCATCCCCTTTCCACGTGCCTGAGCAAGTGCAGCCCGAGCAGGGACACCGGGACATGATTTTCCCTCCTGGTTTCCCTCTCTCTGCTCTCCTGAAACTCTTTGAGAAACTCTGCTGACGCTGAACACACATTTACTCTGGGGACTCATACACCAGCCAAGGCAGAGCTGAGCACATTTCCCCTGCACATTATTTATTCTTTTCTTTGCAGCATCACAGCCTTTTAACCCATTTACAACCACGTTCGTTTCTTCTTCCCTATCAGGAGCTTTAGTGGAAGTGACAAGAAATCTAATCATCACTCCTGGAGGGTCCATGTAGATGGGGACACTTGGCAGAGCAGGAGGCTCAAAGCTCTACAGCCATCAAATGAATTCAAGGAGGAAAGACAAAGCAAAATGAAAAGTTGGCTGATAAAACAAAGACTTCTTTATCAACCTACTTAAAACAAGCCACCAAACCAACCCTGAGACACTTCATGTACTTTCAAGTGAATTGACTTTTTCCCCTCCCCAAAAGACTTTGCAACCCTTCCCACCAAGCAGAGGTGGACTTGAAGTAATCCAGAAGAGATGCTGCATTCCAAGCACGCTGAGGAAACAGTCATTCAATATTCCCAGCAAATGAGCTCACACCAGCAGTGGGAAAAGAAGAGGGGAAGTGTCTAAGAAACTGAGGACTCTGCCTTAGCCACAGCCAAGCCCTGCTGGAAAAGAAAAGCCAAGGTTTCAATTGCTGTAGTATCTGTGAAAAATGAAAAGTCCTCACACCATGTTTTTAAAGCAGCAGCAGAATGGCAGGTGGCAAATTTAATCCATACCCAAAGCCACGGCAAAGATCAGCCTCCAGACTCATCCCACGTCTTCTCTCCTGCTCGCTGGGTGTTCATCCAGCTCAAATGATCACTCTTCTCCCATTCCCACCCATCACAGGTACATTTTCAGGGCAAACCTTTGGCTCTGCAAGATATTCCTAGCTCCTCTCCCTTTCTGCTGAGCCTCCTTGTCCAGCAAACTCAAGGTTTCTCACCAGCCACACGATTTAAAAGGAGAAACACCAAGAGATTGTCACCCCTTGCCTGGCTAATAATAAATAATAATAATCCACAAAGCAAACCACAGAGCTGGCGTGTGTCATGGAGATGTTTGACCTTGCATTCAACTACAGCATCTTCAAACATGCTGCTGTGATGCAGAATGCACACGTGGCACCTTAAAAGAAACCCCAAACAAGAACAAAGCATCACGGTGACAAATGAGTCACTGGTGTCAGCCAACACTGCCCAGATGCTTCTGCAAAGTAGTCTTTGCTCTGTTTCAGCCTGGATCTGGCAGCTGGGCTCCTGCTAGGCTGGAAAAGCAATGCTAGAATCCTAGAAAATCCTATAAAAGAATCCTAGACTAGTTTGAGTTGGAAGACGCCTCAAAGACTATCCAGTCCCAATCCCCTGCATGGGCACCTCCCACCAGCCCAGGCTGCTCCAAGCCCCATCCAACCTGCCCTTCAACACTGCCAGGGATGGGGCAGCCACAGCTTCCCTGGGCAACCTGGGCCAGGGTCTCACCACCCTCACAGCAAAGAATTTCTTCCTGATGTCTCATCTAAACCTTCCCTCTTCCAGTTTAAAGCCATTTCCCCTCATCCCATCACTATCTGCCCTTATAAAAAGTGCCTCCCCCTTCACGTACTGGAAGGTCACTACAAGGTCTCCCCAGAGACAAGGTGACAACATCTAGAGATACTTGCTCTAATTAAAACCAGGTTTTTCAAGAATTCTCTTGGCTAAGCCAGCCGCAGAAGCCATGAGGAGTGGGTGGGATGCAGGGAACACGGGAGGGCACCAATACCACAGGGTGGCATCCTGGCACAAGCACCATCCACGCCCCTCTGCTTCATCCCCACCAAAAGCACAGTTGGGTTAATAGCTCTTCAACTTGCAGGTGCCACACGGGTGTGAGAAGCCACAGTGAGTGAGAACGTGGGTGTCACACCTGCCTCGATGTTTGTATCAAAACAAAATGTGCCCGAACCACTCAAACAAGCTGGGCAAGAGGAAGAGGATGGGGACGCAGCCTGGGGACTCCAGCCACAAAGGAATGGCCCTGCTTCATCAGGGGGATTAAAACCACAGCCGTGGCATGAGGAGTGAGAGAAGGCAGCTTTTCAGGGGAGGAAAGATCCCCCAAGGCCAGCTCATCAATCAGCCCATGCCAAGCTCCTCATCCCAAAAGGCAGCTGCTTCTTGCTGCAAGGGGACACTCTGGTCACACCTGCCAGATCCTGAAGGAGCAAAGCAGCTGAGGGGCTTGACACAACTGCTCCTGGGCTGCACCCCCGTGCCTAAACCGTGGGCAATGCTTGGCCACAGAGCCACAAGCTCAGGGCAGTTTCTCTCCCAGCCCACAGGGAGTTGTGGCCGGGCTGGCTGGAAGGAGCACGAGAGCCCCATGGGGCTCAGGGCTCACCAAGCGTGAAGGACAAACAGGAAAAAAAGCCACCAGGAGATTTTTTTTCCTGTAGAAATCATCCTATGGAAGGGCAGCCTTGCTTCTGGGGTAGGCTAAGCTAAGTTTGATTCCATTCCCCTTAAACCCCAGCACTTCAAACACGGGTATAAGTCAAAGCCCAGCGTGAGACTTTGTAGTTTCAAGCACTTCTCTGGCTCCTCTTGCTCCAGGTTTGCAGCAAGGCAAAAACCCCAGTCACTTTTTGGGGAAGTGGAAGGAGAAAAGGGCAAGTTAGGAAGGAATTCAGCTTTTTTTGGGGTTGTTCTGCCTTGAAAGCAGCGACTCACCCGCAGATCAGACTCCCCTTGTCCCGCCTGATCCGAGCAGTTCTGCAGCTTGTACATCCAATAATGCTTTGCCGTGATGAAAAAATTCCAGGGTAGCAAGGAGCCGATGCCCAGGAGGAAAAAAATCACGTAGGTCCCATGGAAGTGGTCACTGGGCTTTTGGTGGCTGCGTCTGTTCAAGGAGGGCTCCTTGATCAGGGGCTCCTGGTCCTGGGGGAAGCTCCTGCTTGCTGGGTGCATGATGCTGGTAGACTGCAAATAAACCCCCAAAAACAACGCCCCAAAAGGATTTGAGCACGTAGAGGCTGCAAACTGTTGCTCCCACAAGTTGGTGGGTGCAGCTCAGCCCTCTTTTGGCCAGAAAAGTGCTGGATGAGTGAGCTGAACTGGTTTTCGGGGGGAGCACCCATAGGTTTCCATTCACTGTTAATGATTAACCCGCCCCGTTTGGCTTTGCTAAAGCAGGAAACGCGTTCAAAAGAAATTTAAAAAAACCCCCATCGGCATGAAAAAATGAACATCTTGTCCCTGTAAAACGGTTGCAAAGAGCAGGGAGATGGTTTAAGTCTTGCAAAATAAAGCAACAACCAACTGGGCTTTGCAAAACCGGCCGGGAAATGAACTGGGAACGACGTCTTCAAGGTTTTGCAATTAAATAAAAGGCTCAGGAACCAGCACAACGTCGGCGAGGCTTGGAAAAAGGCTTGGAAAGTTTAAGCAGCAAAGGCTGTTTTGCAAAAAAAGCCGCGAAAGGCTCCC